ATGTATGGCATTCGGCTTTGTTCGGGTATTTTCCCACGTCATTGTAGTTGTGCTTTTAAAGTTGTAGCGACGTTTCAGCAGAATCTCATCTGCCATCATCAGGCTTCTGTAAATATATATATAGAGATAGATAGATAGATAGATAGATAGATAGAAGGATAGATAGATAGATAGATAGATAGATATTTTACAGAAGCCTGATGACGGCAGATGAGATTCTGCTGAAACGTCGCTACAACTTTAAAAGCACATAGATATATATATAATCTTCTGGTCTGCTTTAATTAAACTGTCTAGACTTTGTTGAGTGAGTAAGCCTTGGTAAAAATGATTGCGCGCATGGTGGAATACCAATTGACCTGGGCGAATGGTTTGTATTTCCCTTTTATTCATCCAGCCTTTCCTCAAGGCTCGGAGCTGGTCACAAGCAGAGCTTGGATTTGAGTTGTCACATCTCACAACCATTTTTTAAAAATCACTTAATTATGTTTTAATGGCCTGTTGACACCGTCTCTGTGCAGGAATGTCTTGGAGAAGAGCTGTCTCTTTTATGGTCCCTTAATTGCAGGTTATACCAGAGCCAAAATAGTCCCTTTAATTCTCAACTGTCATCCCTTCTCTAATTCCATCTCCTGTTAACGAATTATGCAATTTCACCCAGAAGTCTGAAATAGTCACACGTCTTTCTCCTCTGAACATTTTGAGGTTTCTTCTCATTCTGCTGAGTGAGGAATTATGGAAAATCGACTATGACTTGCCACAGTTGATCTACTCAAAAGAGTTTTTCGGGGTTTGTGGTATTCTTACATATAAAAGTGGGCTTAATTTGTAATAATCCTCTTGTCTTTCTATTTGGAAGTAGGACCCACATATCTAGAGAACAACCTCACTTGAAGTTTTACTTCAATGTTAGCCAGAGGAGGGAATACAAGGAGAAATAAGAACTTTCTAGAATTAAGGAGAAATTTCTTAACAGTGAGAACATCAGCTAGTGGGAGGGCTTGCCTTTAGAAGATGTAGATGCTCCAACACTGGAGGTTTTCAAGACAAGACTGGGCAGCCATTTGTCCAGAATAGTATAAGGTCTCCTGCCCGAGCAAGGGGTTGGACTAGAAGATCTCCAAGGTCCCTTCCAACTCTTATTATGCTGTTAACTGGACACGTGTCTTACTGGACATCCGTAAAGCTATGCTGAAGGGCTTTTCTGTCTTCAGCTAATTAATGAACCCCGAAGCTGAACATTGTGTCAACTCATAAAATATTTCTATGGTCAGAGTTGCCAACAGAAAGGGATGGGGTGGGGGGGGGAAAGGGGCTTGAAAGAGTAGTGTGGCAGCTTGCAAACCGAAAGTGCATTCCATAAATGTTTTCAAAGATAGTAACTAGGTGACTGAAGTTTCTGCTGTGCAAAATTCTAACTGGAGAGCATGATTGATGACTCTGGGCTATGGAGGTGTCCCGTTGGAGGATATGAATTACGATACACCCAGGGGGTGGGGGGGAAAACCAGGGTCAAGGGTGACAGTGAATGAGTTGACTTCACCCAGGTAGTGCCCAGGTACTCCTAATAAATCCTGTTTGATAAAATAAATCTAATAAATCTCCTAATAAATCTTGTTTAATTTTTGGAAGTTTGGCTCGAGACTCGTGATTTAAATGGGGGTAAACTGACGCGTTGTCTTCTTGGTTTTCCTCTCTTTCAGGATGGACCAGTGGAGATCCTACCCTTCCTTTACTTGGGTAGCTGTTACCACTCTTCCAACAAAGAGGTGCTGGAGTCGCTGGGAATCACCGCGGTCCTTAACGTCTCTTCCAGTTGCCCCAACTACTTTGAAGGACACTTCCTGTACAAGAGCATCCCAGTAGAAGACAATCACATGGCTGATATCAGCGTATGGTTCCAGGAAGCCATAGATTTCATCGGTGAGTGCCGTAATTTGGAGAAAACCCATTGTTTCTATGGAAACTGTAATTCGGCCCCTTGGCCTTCTGAAGAATGGGGGGAGGAGGGTCCCCTTTGGTGGACACAGTGAAGTCGTTGGAAAGAACAAGGTTGAATTAGTTGGCCTGGTTTGATCTGTTGGGTGGAAGGGATAAGGAGGATGCTGGTAGTTATGCTACGGAGACGAATCCAGGAGAGAAGCAACTAAGAACTAGGGAGACATTTCCTGACGGGGAGAACAATTAACCGATGGAACAACCCGCCTCCAGAAGTTGTGGCTGCTCCAACACTGGAGGTTTTTAAGAGGAGATTGGATAACCGTTTGCCTGAAGTGGTGTAGGGTTTTCTGCCTAAGCAGGGGGTTGGACTAGAAGACCTCCAAAGTCCCTTCCAATTCTACTCTACTCTACTCTACTCTACTCTACTCTACTCTACTCCTTTTTCCCTTTCCCTTATTCCTTATTCCTTATTCCCTATTCTATTCTATTTTATTCTACTCTACTCTACTCTACTCTACTCTACTCTACTCATTTTTCCCTTTCCCTTATTCCTTATTCCTTGTTCCTTTTTCCTTATTCTATTCTCTTCTCTTCTGTTCTATTCCTTTTTTTCCCTTTTTTCCTTATTCTATTCCCTATTCTATCCTATACCCTATCCTATCCTTCAGTATAAAAAGCTTCCCAGGGGCAAACCATCACTATTTGTGTCATAAAACCACTCTCAATCATAAATAACTGATGGAAACTGCTGGAATTTGGCCCTTTTTTTCCCCCACCCAGTGTTGATGATGTCATCTTGCAAGTGGGTGTCCAAGGTGGGAGACCTCTGCTCTAGATCGTTAGCAGGAAGCTTGCTTTGGCCATCCTTCCGAGCATTACACCTGCCAGGTGGGACCGTGAGACCTCATCTTACACACACCCACACACACCCCAATTTTGTGCCACCCCAAAACAGCTCAAGGGTCTTTTTTTTTTAGGCGCGATGGCTTCCCTACGGCGAGGGAGCTCTCCTCCTCCTCCACCTCTGACCTTCTCCTCTCCTCTCCTCTCTTGCAGATTCCGTGAAGGCCAGCGGTGGGCACGTGCTGGTACACTGCCAAGCAGGCATCTCTCGTTCCGCCACCATCTGCCTCGCCTACCTCATCCAGAGCCGCCGGGTGCGGCTGGAGGAAGCCTTCGATTTCGTCAAGCAGCGCCGCGGCGTCATCTCGCCCAATTTCAGCTTCATGGGACAGCTCCTGCAGTTCGAGACCGAGGTGCTCTGCCACTAGCCGGCGGCTCCTCGCCGCTCTGCAGAGGAGGAAGCCAAGAGGGGGCTTCTTACGGACCACAGATTTGGGGAGGGGGCCCCTGTTTACATCCCAGATAGGGGAGGAGGGAGGGGGGAGCCACGCGCTGGGCACTGGCCTCCTCCTTTCCCTTCTGCCGCACTCCTTGGTAGCAAGGACTTCCCAAAGTGGGAGGGGCGCCGAATTGCCCTTCCTGCCCCACCCAACCCTGGCGGGCCTCCCCCCCCCCCCCCCCCCCCGTGTGAAATTGCCATGATGACTTTATTGCATGACTATGAAAGGAAAGAAAGAAAGAAAGAAAAAGCGAATAAGCTGGAGACAAGGAGAAATAAATGTGAGACGAGACGGTTCGACACTCTTGGCAGGAACCGCTCGGGCCCCCCCTCTGTTGCCTCCCCCCCATCGAAGAGAGCCAAATATGTTATTTATTATTGTCCGTTGTTGCCCCCGCGTGTCTCCCCACTTTGGACGGCTTAGTTTGGACCACGTTGCATAAATCAACTCAGCCCAAGTAACGGGGGATCCTCGACATATGGCCTGCCGTTGAGGCCCGCCATCGAGGGCGCTAAACGTTGAGCACATTTTTTTTTCCCCTGTTGTATGACTTTTCTCCCCGCGTTTTTTGTTAAGGGGATCTCGGCCGTTGTTCAGCTAGCAACAACTAGCTAGTCGTTAAGTGGATCCAGATTTCCCCGTTGCTGTGGTTAGAAGCTCCCCAAAGAAGATTTCTGTGCTCCCCTTCTCTCCACCCCCGCCCCCACTCCCAGGGACACGGCCGCCGTCATAAATGTGAGTCAATTGTGGGGCATTCGAAAGTCAATCGCGCGGCCATGGGGATGCCCCAACGGTTGTAAGGGTGGGAAACAGCCGTACGTAACTTTTCCCCGTGCTTGTAACCTCAAACCGTCACTAAATGAACTGTTGTAAGTCAAGGACTACTTGACTCTGCCTTTGTGTCCTCCAAAATTGGACACAGTGCCATTTTCTTCCAGCCCAGGTGGACTAATCCTTGGGTGTCTTCAAGTTATAGACTGAAATCAACGCATATTTTCTTTTTTTAATTAAAAAGCCATAATATGTATTAAAATAACAGTTTAAAGACAGAGGTTCAGGTTGCTAATAATCTGATGCATTTGATAGCAGGAGCAGGTTCAGGATGATGGACAGCTGAGCTTGTTCCTTGCCCAAATGCCAGTGACCTGGTCATGCTGTTGGTCACTCAGCTGCCATGGGTGGGCCATTACGTTGAACATGTTCATCTAATATGAACATGGAAGCGACGTGGATCTGTTCTTTTCTTCAATGACTTCAATGCCTGAAAGTTCATTTGTGGTAAGGCTGGAAAAAGTTGACATGGACCTTGAAGGTCCACCTTAGAAGCCTCCTGCACACCAATATCCCATTAGTGCAGGGGTCTCCAAACATGGCCCCTTTAAGTCTTGTGGACTTCAACGCCCAGAATTCCCCAACCAGCCATGGGGAAGTGGCCATGTTTGGAGTTGAAGTCCACGAGTGGCCACGGTTGGAGACCCCAGCATTATTAGTGCCTTGCGTGAAATACACCTGTGTTTCCCAGCCAGGTAGCCTAGCCTTGGTACCTTTGGGTCAGATGAACCAACAATCAGCAAGCCCCACTGCGATGGAGATGTTTTGTGTGGACAGGATAGTCCATCTGGGATGAAGATTGGCTTCACCACCTGCAAAGGGAAGTGGGACAACTCCGAGTCCTCCTTCCCTTTGTGCACAATCATCCGTGGGTGAGAGGAGGGGCTGGAGCATTGGTGGATAGGGCCCCCAACTGCTCCCTTCCTCTTCCTCTCTCCCCCCAAAGCAATACTCACTTGTTCCTCTGTACATTTGCTGTTAGAAGAACCTCCGTCTTGAAGGACATTGATTTCAGAATGTCTTCTGCACTTTATATTTATTATCACCTGTTGCAATAAACAACCACTTTTTATATGGCAGGACGTTGCGTCTCAAAATGTTTGCTTGGTTGGGAAGAGAGTCTTTTCTTTTTTTGCCTCAAAGATGAAATGGTTCATTTGCCCTCAGCATGCTTAAGAAGAAGACATGGCAACATGGTCAGGAAAGTCAAGGTGGCGGCAATGAGGTTGTATTCACAGCTCCACCTGTTCAGGAGTTTCCAACTTAACAACCTAAGCCAAGGGTCGGCAACCTTAAACATTCAAAAGAGCCATTTGAACCCATTTCCCACAGAAAAGAAAACACCAGGAGCCACAAAACCCTTTGTAACGACCGGGGCGTGGCACAAAAGCAACACAGTCAGATAATCAACAAGAGCCCCCTCATTAGCTCCAACTTTGCCCCCAATGTCCAGGTTACCTTCTGTCTGGAGAAAAAACTCTCCCAGAAACAGCCTTTGACTGCAGAAAATTAAGTCCAAAACATGGTCAACAAAAACTGTAACTTTAAGTCCAATCAAGGCAAACTGAAGTAATTAATTTGGCAGGGCAGGAGCAAGAATTCCGGATGGGAAGGCACGGCAATAACTCAACACGGTTGGGAGGATGCCAAGAATGCAGATAACCAAAGTCAACATAAGATAAACTCACATTTGCTCCCAGCAGCCGCTGCACTCAGCATGCATCTCTTAAACTCTCTTCCCAGCTGTGGCTAATGAAGGGAATCAGGGCCCTTTCCTCCCCCGTAAGCCACGCAGCCCACGTTGCTCCCTTCTCCATTCCTCCCTGCATGCCCTAGGATGAAGAGAGGTGGGCCTGGGTCTTCCTCTGAACTCCTTCTCCCTTGTTCTACCTCTCTCCTGCTCTGCCCTGCTTTGCCCTTCCCCAGTTTCCTTCACAGCCAATGGAGCCACACTCCTGCTTCCTGTCAGCTGTTCATCTTCCTCCTCAGATTCAGACTTTGACAGGGGCATGGCAACCTTCCCCGTGCCTGAGCGGCCACAAAACTAGCATATGTAGGTGAATTAAATGTTCTGTTTTTTTCTGAAACTTTTCTGGATTTACCCATGGTTGGTCTACCGGAGATCGAAAAGCTCAATAAATTGAGTGCCAATGGGTGTTGCACATTGGTGGTTGTGACACCTATTTTGAGTGAGAGAGAGCTCCAACAGAGGGGTGAAAGAGCCTCATGCAGCTCTAGAGCTACAGGTTGCTGATGCCTGCCCTAAGCCATGGTTTGCTTAACCTCAAGTTGACTGAATAAACCACGTTATTTCAGATCACACAACCCCTTGGGTTAAATTGTGTTGGGGGTCACCGTTGTGAAATCCATATGGATGAGCCCAAAGAGAACTCTCGGCATCTTTCATGGCCCACAAAGCAGCATCTGCAGCAAACAGTCAAACATCTGGGGCTCAACATCCTGTGGGCCTGCTTCTCTTGCCTACCTTTCAGTGTTGCAGCAGGTTCAAATCTGAGTCACTGTCAGGTTTCCAAGGGATAAAATCCATTTAAAAAGCAAAGAGCAAAATCCGTTTTCCAAAACTCATTTCTTTTATTTAGGAAAGCATCAAATTGGCAAAGTCTGTTGTAATTCTCAATCTGACACAACCCGGAATTGCAGCATATAATATTGGAAGTTAAGAAACAGCCCCCCAAAGGTCACATTCTCCAATAGAAGTAAATCCGTGATTGCCTTGGTGTCATTAATCTCCACCTCCAAGTCTCAGCAAAGTCAGCTTTCGTTCCCACGGGAAGAAGAACCACTTAGCCTAAACAACTCTCTCTTATCTCCACTCCTCCCCGCTTAGGAATGTGGCAAGCCCAAAACTCTTCCCCCCACAACCAGCAAAGAGAAAGGAAGAAAAGGAATATATAATAAGGCTAAATAAAATGGCTCTACACATATGTCAATTTCAGGCTTGACAGTCACATTTTCCAGCCGGCCTCCTTCTGAACTCTGGAGCAACAGAAAAACCCCCCCACCCACCTACCCCATTTCCTCTGAGCTGCTGCCTCTCCTTCCTACTTTGCGGTAACTCAAAACCAAGATCTCCACTGTTGATACTGTCTAGTATTGTTAAGCGGTGGTAGTATGGGAGGGTTTCTCCTAAAATTCACCACCATTTCTACGGTTTTGAGCGTGTTCAGTTCCAGATTGTTCCGGCTGCACCACAAGGCTGGTTGTTCAACCTCCTGTCTGTTTGCAGATTCGTCGTTGTCTCAAATGACACCAAGCATTGTTGTATCGCCTACAAACTTCAGTACTTTAACAGAGGGATCTTTTGAGATGCAGTCAACGGTATGAATGTACCGCAACTAAGTTTAGGAGCTGTGTCAGAGAAGGAGCCCACAAGGAGCCTTATTTGTTTATTTTGTTTTTATTTGTATTTATTTGATTTGTCAATCGCTTACAAGATAATAGGTATAAGTATAAACATAGTTATGAATACATGAGATGGGAACATATAAGAAAAAAAAAACACAATAGGACGGGGACTGTAGGCACGTTGGTGCGCTTATGCACGCCCCCTACAGACCTCTTAGGAAAGGGGTGAGGTCAATAGTAGACAGTCTAAGGTTAAAGTTTTGGGGGTTTGGGGAAGAAACCACAGAGTCAGGTAGAGGATTCCAGACATTGACCCCTCTGCTGCTGAAGTCGTATTTCCTGCAATCAAGTTTGGTTGAGATTGTATGTATTGTATGCTCTTCTGCTGTTATGGTTGAAGCTGAAGTATTCATTGACTGGTAGGACATTGCAATGTATGATTTTATATGCTATACTTAGATTGGATCAAAGGCGGTGTAGTTCTAGATTATCTAGGTCTAGAATTTCAAGTCTGGTGGCATAAAGTATTCTGCAACGAGTAGAGGAGTGGAGAACTCTTCTTGTGAAATATTTCTGGACTTTCTCAATTGTGTTAATATCAGATACGTAATGCGGGTTTCAGACTGATGAGCTGTATTCGAGTATTGGTCTAGCAAATGTTTTGTATGCTCTAGTTAGTAGTGTGATATTACCAGAGAAAAAGGTACGTAAGATTAAGTTAACAACTCTTAATGCCTTTTTGGCTATGTAGTTACAGTGGGCTCTAGCACTTAGGTCACTAGAGATGAGTACTCCAAGGTCCTTGACAGAGTTAGTGAGAGACTCACGGAAACATCTGGAGCGGCACGATGTGCTCGGACGCTGTGGCGAGTGAGTGGGCTGTGATGAAGCAGCAAAGCTGATTCAACCGGGGCCCAGTGGAATATTTCTGGCTGGCTGGGTGGGTGGGAAGTGACAAG